TGGTGGTACTAAGTAGCACTTTATACTTAAATAAGACATTTGCTTCCGTCGGATAAAGAGATAGATAGATAAGTAGTACCTAATCAAAAACTAAATATTGTTGATACCTACTTGCTTTATTTAATTTTAGTTATATTATGTTCATAGTTCATGGACATCGGTTTTATTTATTAAAAAAAAAAAAAAAAAAAAAAACAATTATATTATTTGCTGAAGTTAAATTTTTGAGCAAAACAATAGTAAACAATATAATAATGAGTGTTTAAAAAACACGGTGACATTTACATTTCACAAGTTTTAATTAAAAATAATTTTCTGCCAAAACAAAACTTTTTGAAAATTTGTTTATAATTTTTATACAGTGGCATAATTTTGGGTTTTTTTTTTTTTTAGGGGATCCTGACAATACTTTTTTCTCCATAAATATTATCATAGTTTAATCACAAAGTCATATCGTAAGTTTCCCCGTAATACGTGCCACAAATATTATTAAATAACATTTATTGAACATTTTTATAATTTATAACCAACAACTTTTTATATTAGAGCAGTTATCAAGAGCAAATTATACTTCTATAGTTTTATATAGATTTATATTAAAAAATCAATGATATAAAAACATCTTATAAGTGGTAAATTTCTTGTAAAAAAAAAAACTTGGGATTACTATTTGAATTTTTTACCATAGTTTTTACTAGAATAAAATATGAAAAGTTGGATTGAATATAATATTAATTAATTTCAGATTAATAGGTTATTTCAAAAATCAATTCATTAAACTTTACATAAATGTATTAATTAATTTTGTAGTGTTAAAAGAAAACGTCTTTTTTTTTAATGCCAATTTGTCCTATACTTGATTATTTTCAATACGATCCTTCCATTTGATTGATAAACCATTAAGTTTTTATTAGAAAAAACAATTATAAATTAATTAAATTTTATAATAATTATTTAAGCAATCTTAGTACAACAAAAAAATATACCTACTTGGCTCATACAATTACGTTGATAAATATTTTTATCCTTTTTAATGATGAGAATAATCTTTTGTTCTGTGCAGTAGATGTAGAATAAGAATAAAGATTTACAGATATATATATATTAATACATTTTCAAAGCAGTATTAAAATATTTTATATTTTGATAATATTATATTAAGTAACTTCAATAAAGGAAAGAAATTTAAAAAAAACTATTTGGGGGTGTTTTAACCCCAGAACACCTACTGTAAGTTCTCCATTGTGTATGTAATATATCAAATGTAAACAATGTGTGATACAAAATACGCTCAAGTACAATCGTCATTGTTAGTATTATTTATGCATATTAATTAAAAAATTAAGCCATAATAAGACATGGTAAATTAATAAAGCGACCAAGAGCAAATATAGAATCCAAATGCAGTATCTTAAATCTATAAGATTATTCGGGTTTTAATAATACCCTACGTGGATAAGAGTATAAGACTAAAATGTTATAAATGTTTTACTTGAAGTTATTTTTTTCATTTGAACTATACTGAGTCTATCTATACTAGTCTTAGTAATCAAATGTATTAATACCATGGATTAATATTCATTAAAGACCATCATTATTATTATTTATGTCTATATATTTAAAACTGAATTATAATTTGTATATATATATGACCGTAAGGTTGAAATGTAAGTAAAACTTTTAGCAGAAGAATAATCATTAATCAGTAATCAGTTAATGAGATTCCATCGAGTTATGTGGTTGTCAAATAACTATAGTCATAGATTTTGAAAGGCATTAATGTTCTATTAAAGTCAAAACGTATCAGCATTTGTAATGCAAATAATAAATTATCAATCAGACATGTATTTACTTCAAAAAATTATTATGAAAAATATAAAATTGATTTTATGTTAGTATTTTTTGATGCCAAGTGTAGTCAGAATAATATACTGATTTTACCATAATGTGTTTTAATTTTTGGAGTCTATACATGCAAAACATTACAGTGTTGTAGTTCTCGTATAGGTAGCTTATATATATTGTATATCATGAATAATACGTGTATATATATGTGTTCGTATATTGTGCACTCGTGAAATAAATACCTAGTGCGTTACAAAATGTACAACACAATATTATATAGTACAAATAAAATCCTACATTGTTTTCATTAGTTATAATAATCCCGGAACCCCTAAACGAAGTGAAATCAGTCACTTCCTATACTGTATGCTACAAATGATGGTATTCCTTTTGTTGCTTTATTAATCACAGTAAAATAATTTTAAACAACATTCATTGTTCTGCGCGCAGACTATTCGTGATATTGCCTTATCGTTAATGCGATTGATAATTAATATAACAAGTATATATTTTATATATATAACAAAATCTAATGAAATACTATTCTTACCCGCCTATATTATTGTCCGTAGCTATATTCCAATGTTGAATAAACAAAATAATTTTTGGTATCACAGTCTATATGCTGCTTACTCGAAGTTACACATTTCGAATTTATTCGTTTGCTGAAGTAAAATTAATTTCCCGTGAGACTTTACATTTCATAAGTTTAGATAGACTATTGTAATGATATATCGAAATGTATAGTGTAATAACAAACAAATAGTATATTAACATTTGCAAATAAAATGAAAAGTGAAAAAAATTATATTTTATCCGAATTTTTAATTACTTTCTTATATAATTTATGGTTTTTTCCTCAGTATATATATTTTGGTTATTTAAGTATACACAGGTTTACAGAGTTATCTAACTATAAGAATTAGATGAATACTGGGGGGAGGTATATGAAAGTAGTTAAAAATAATCAAAAAAAATTAATATTAAAATGTATACTATCTGAGTAGTTTATAATAATGTATAGACAAATTTTAAAACTCAAAACATTCGAGGTATTTTAAATATATATTTTAACAACATTTCAAGGTTGAATAATTAATATAAAATAATAATATGAATTATAATCAAATATTTATAAAAATGTATAATAATCAAATAAACGTTATTGATAGTAATTTAAATGTTCAAACAAATGGTTATATCTTATGTTATAAAGTCGATATTATTATTATTAAATGTAAATACAATAATTTCCAAACGAAATATTATATACTTATATGATACGATTTCCTAACAAAATACTTAATTATATATAAATTTTGATAAAAGTTTAAAATTTAAGTCGTGGAGTTGTGGTTAATTAATATGAAATGCTTCTACATTTTAAAGTATTTGAAGTTATAGTTGCCAAAAGTTTATTTTTGAAATTTGAATATATTTTTAATTTAATTATATTATAACTCTATCTGTAAAGTTTTGACTACCTATAGATAATAATTTTATTTTGTCATCATTAAAAGTTTGTAAGCATCAGATATGCTTGGATGAGCGATGGGGGTGTTATCAACTCCACAATGACCGTAATTAATATTGTATCTCTTACTGATATACTCAGTGGCGTAATTGTGGGGGGCAAGGGGGGCAAGGGCCCCCTCTGACAATTTTTTGAGAGATTAAGGTATAATTTTGCCTCCCCAGATAATCCAACAGTACAAACAGCACCTTTTATTTATTAACTCTTATGGGTATTATTTAACAATATTGGTTAGTAGCTGCTACCTACAATTTATGTTTATCTAAACCATAAAATGAGTTAAAAGACTTATGTAAAATCAAACAATTAGATATAGTGTATAAAATACATAAAATAAAAATATGTTTTAACTGGTGAGTGGGAGGGGTGTCAGGGTTTTGGTAATAATAAATATATTATATTGCCCCCCCTAGATTTTTTCTCAGTTACGCCACTGGATATACATAACATGACTTATTGTCAAGGGCGGATCCATTTATCTATTTATGGTCAAGGCATTTTATAGGAGAAATTATATAATATAGCTGATCATAAGCGTACATAGGGATCTCTAGGTAGGATATTTAGAATCCCTCCAAAAATATAATTTGACAACACTATACTAAAACTGTTAACATTTAATTTTACAATCTATTGTTTGATTTTTCTAAGTATACCTATACTTTCCGACGGGGATGGCATTCAGCCCTTAGTGTCCCCCTGAATCCATCCATGAATATTATGAATATTAAGGTAAATAAAATCTAAAAACAGGGCCGAATATAGGAATGTGGATGTCTTGTGCCGATTCCTAGTAGTGGCTATTGTTTTCAGCTACATATATCAATAAATCTAATATATTTCAATCGTTACAAATTAATCGAAAGTACCTAATTGAAAATAATAATATGATTAAAAATTTACTGATTAACAATATTGTTAAATAACGTCTTAAAATTGTGTTAGAAGGCCAATTTAATTATTGAATAAAATAATAAATAAATCGATTTGAAGTGCAGTATAGGTAAAAAAGAAAATTGCAAAACACCAATAAATTGTCAAATGGTATTTAAAAAAAATGTACATGTGGAACTTAACTGCATTCTCATAATATTATACAACTGAAATGAGTCAATTTTAAATGTTAGACTAAAATAATAATCACAAGTACATTTGTAAGCGATAGGATCGCGAATTATTGGCAGTGAGCAGCTGCATACTTAAGGAGGGCGATTGCGTGTCCCTAGCATAACCGTGTATAGTATTATAGTACAAACTCGTATGAATGGGTATTGCATGTAATCAATATTCTCTATAATAAGTTTCCTTTCCAGATTGAACGCGATCCGGGGATTTTTATGATTACGCATTTTATATTTTAACCAATTAGAACTTGAAAATATCGTCACATCGTAGATCGACGTTCACGAATACGAACATTTTCAACTGTATTGCATTGAAACAAGTTCATAAAACCGCGTGAACGATTTCCACAAACCACTGGCCCTTATCGATGCAATAAATTTAAAAATACTCGGTCCGCCCTCCTCGGCGAACGTGTTATACGCATACACTTCCCTACAGGTATAACACACACGTAAAATCTTAAATGTACGTAATACGCACACACGATTATCCGTACCATATTTTTTATTGTGAAAAAATTGTATACAAATATTTAAAATGACCATTTGTAAAATATGCACTGTTCTAGCCGAAACGATCACCGTAATCGTAGAATGGACAGTAGTGAACGAGCGTGATGGAATTGATTATTTTCTCGTCGCGTTCGAATCGATAACGTTTGAAAACAGGGACACGATAACAGTACTAATAATGATGAACGGTGAAAACATCGTACGAACAAAGCAGTCGGCCGCGGTGTATCAAACGGGTACGACGTACGCGCGCTCCCCGTGTGGGCTGCCGCGTAAACGTTTAAATTTATAACGTTTTACAACGGATACGCGTTCTTGATAAATGCGGACGGACCACGAACGTTATAAACACATTGAAAACCGAACGGTATCACTCGTTGACCGGGTACCATACGATGTGGAGAATTGGTCAATACCGCACACAACAGCGAATATACGTGCGCGCGCGCGTACGTGTGCGTTCGCCGTACAGTAGTCATCGTACCCTAACCCCCCTCCCACCCGGGGATCAACGTCGTGAGCCGTTCGGACGTGGGAACGGAGACGGTTATTTTACGTCATTACGCGAAAATTTACGAACGCACACACCGGTGTGGGCAACGTCCGAGTGTGTGGCGTGTGCGAGCGGCTTGCGCGTCTCGCGGCGGCGGCGGCGGCAGCGGCGGCGGCGGCGGCGACGACGTGTCTTCCAGCGATACGTTAGCGCTACCTACGGGCCGTATCGGCGAGGGGGAAAAATGTGGCATATATTTTTCGATCGTTTCCCGTATCGCGAACGACGCGCGTCTGCACCGCGTTTGAATATATTGTTGTTCGCCGCGTACGACGACACCGTAGACCACTCGACCGGGCACGTAGCTGGTAGGGAGGGACCCCCCTCCCTTAAATTTATTCCGCCGCCCCTCCCCCCAAACAATACAAATAAACGCAAATTTATACACACTTTTTTTTACCGAACATCAAAAACACGCTTTGTGAGAGCCGTCTTCAGGGCGACGGGACCATTATGTCCAGGAAAATTTAAAGGGGGCAGTTCGATCGAAGTTCGGAACGATTAGAAATACACTCGGCGTTATCCATTAGAGATTATCGATCTAAATATATTATTTCTAAATGGTTTTTCTTTATGAAACATTAATACATTTTATTGAATAAAAATTAATTTAAATGTATATTTAAGCGCTATTATACAAGATTTTCAGTTATTCCGACTTCTAAATAGTTATAACTGTTATTTATTACGGTTACTGCCGGAGTTATTGTTGAGAAGTTTTAAAAATGTAATTAATTGTACCTATGCATTTAAAAGTCCATGAAGGTTGAAGTTTGGAAAAATATATATTTATTAACATCTTGCTAACTTGGTGTGTATTTTTTATCCTACACGTACATTATTGTGATGATGAGAGGACCCTTGAATAAATGCCTCAGGCCCTAAAAATCCTTAGGACAGCTCGGCTTATAGCTCGTGCACATTAAATAAATATTTTGAGATAACTATTCGATAATACAATTTATCGTGATTTTTATTATTATATATCTGTACATAATATCTATAAATATATTATTATGTTACATTTTATATTCGTAGAAAACTTTAAAATTAAATATTAGGTCTATTCATAATACAACTAATGTCAAATAGTATCTACACTTTATAGACTCTACAAGTTTCTCATAGGAAACAGACTATGGAAAATAATACAAGGGCCCAAAATTGTTGGCTTCAATAGCCCTAATAGAAATGTTTTGGCTACGTGCCGGAAGTTGACCGCACGATTCTTCCTGGAAGAACAAGATTTATAATTGCATCGTATTTGAAATCGCGTGGACTTAGATTTTATCTTCTTTATTTATTAATTTAGTAACGAATCCACCCATCGCTTTACTACCCCGCAGTACCGTGCCTAGCATAATTAGCATCCGGTGCCAAAAATCATTTTAACACCCTCGCCCCTCTACAAAATATTTTTGAACCTATAATTATAACTTAGCTTAAGCTATAAAGAGACTACTTAAGAATAGGGGGTTTTATATAATTACTTTTTTTGTATTTATTAAATTAATAAAATAAATAATCCACGACTAAAGAACAATATAAGTAATATAACTCAAACTTTCAAACGCCATGTTTTCTCACCAGGATCTACCTACTTGAACAAGTTATACACAAATTTCGCCTTTGGATTTTAATCTATAGCTCCTGTTATACCAGACAAAGTACGGTTGAACGATTTTACTCTATTCAGACAGATCCCTCATAATCAAATTTAACCGGCCATCATCTCTTACTCTATTGCTTGCAAATTGAATCTTAATGATTTCCTTCCAGTGGTGCAATTATCAAGAGTATAGGATGTACAATTCACAGAGACCCCCGGTTTTGGGAGGCCCCGAGATCTCTTCTTATATTAATTTTGTCCCTTACAATATTCCTACTATAATCTGTAATATACACATATTATATTATTTGTTTTAATACAACAATAAATAATAATATAGGTCTGGACATTTTCACATGGGCCCCTTATCATCAAGCTGCGCCACTTTTCTCTTCTCTGCACACCCTGTTTGGAAAAAAAATATCTATATTCTATTTGATTGTCCTTCCCCAATCACTAAAACGCAACATTCTAATTAGTCTCTCATTAACCCATTCAAGACTTTCAGGATTTTATTTCAAAATCTGCTCTCATTCTAATTACTCGTATTTCCTTCATTCACGAGGCTGGTTTCTGTGTATAATCTTTTATTATTTTAATATTTTTATGTTATATGTTTTATCTATTGTATTTTAATAAATTAACCGATGTACTTTATTATAACTGTCGAGCTTAATAGTATTTATAAAAGCACTATAAATAGAAAAAAATAAAAAACTCAATAAAAAATAATTTTATAGGTAGAAAAAAACATGTAGATAATAACTTATCGTTTTAAATCGGTTATTTATTTATAAATTAAATTCATTCGATTGCACAAAAAGTAGCTTACGTTTTTAAATAATTGCCGATGAAAAATAATTAGTCACCTATGCAACTTCTACGTTCATGAACTATATTGTACAACTCGATCAAGTCTGTGTTCGTTTATGTTATTAATGTTATTAAATCAGTTATATCAAGTAACAATAACAATAGAATATAAATATATTATTATATTATTGTTGATTTGTCATCTCGCCGATTTCGGGGCAAAAATAAATACCAATACTAAAAACAAACTAGCAACACCGCCGATCAAGACAATGTTAATGATCTTGACTACGCGACCATGGCGTTAAACGTGTGTTAAATATTTTGAATTAAATAATATGGTTAACTTTCAGAAATGTTACTTAGACTATAAAAAAGCTTTTGGTGCCCCAGCGCACATGTACCTCTCACCCCCCCCCCCCTAGACACGGCCCTGCTACCCAGGTTACGGGGGAAAAATCGTACTACGGTTTTGGGCAACGCGTCGGGAAGTTGGTACGGTTGTACGGTCGAAATCGTATCGTAAGTATACACTGCTTACGCTACGACAATAATATATAGGTATGCGATGGTGGAAATGATGTTTTCGCATCGTATACCACAAATCTGGCCAGGGGCTTAGACGTCCGCCGACAACGCGATGTACAATAACGGAATAATAATAAGAGGAAAACGAATAATAAATTCCGTCCGCCCGTTTCGATTAAACGGTACGCGGAACGGCCGCGCGAATGCCAACACTGCGCGCTCGTGCGGTGCACGCCAAGGGCGTGATGCGATGGACCGGCGACGGTCGGACGAAGCGTAACCGATACGGCGACGGCGGCACGGGAGGCACACGTCGTGCGATTTGGAGAGAGAGAGAAAAAAAAAAAAAGAAAGAAGAATCTAGCGGGGAATACGGCAACTGCGAGGGGGCGGTGGACGCGCACGCCGTGAAAAGCCCGTGGGCCCCGTGTTCGGCGCGGTGACTTGTGACCGGCGTGCGCGGGTTATCGTCGCGCGGTCGGCCGGTTCCGTCGCGAGTGGGCGGGCGCCGCGGGGTTAAGTGCATCGAGGAAAAAACGAGAATAAAAATGAAATCCGAATGATTTTCTCGGACGCTGGACTTGCAATTCCGCGCTATTGACAGCACTGGTACGGATCAATTAAACAAGGAGAGGAAAAAAAAAAAAAATCTATTCATCCCGCCGAATGTTGTGCGTGTGTACGGCATAGCGGCACACCGCCGGGCCGCCACTCGTGTTCTCCCCAGTCTTCTTGCGCACACGCCCGCCCATCACTCGATCCGCCGTCTCAATCACTCTCTCTCTCTCACCCACTCTCTCTCTCTCTCTCTCTCTCTACCGCACACACTATGCCCTTCTCTCACTAATAATGGTCGTGTTATTATTGATGTTTTGCCGACGGCGAGGTTTAAAAAAATAATTCAATTTTGTCAACGAGTCGCCGTGCACGGTCGTCTTAAGGGATTCTTTATTTTTTTTTACCGACACGATTCGACCGGTGACGGTTGTTTCAACCGGTGGCCAACTGCCCTGGTTTACGCGGCGAAACCGTTGCGCGACGGTTAAACCGAGAACGAATGGAAGAACGAAATAGTTATGAAAAAAAAAAAAATAATAATAATAATAATAATAATAGTAAGCCGACGATCGTACACGCCAACGGATCTCGCAGCGGGACAATGTTATTGTTGTTGGAACGAACGACGACGCCCCTACGGTTTTTCGTTCCCATCGTGTGTACACGTACACGGCATTAAAGCGAACAAGCGCCGAGACATGTACGGGAAACACGATGTACAATTATTACTCTTATTATTATTCGGCGAAAGGGACGCGCGTAGCGGTGGCGACGACGACGACGACGGCTGCAAAACGTCCGAAAACGTGAGGGCTACAATCCACGAGGGAGGTGAGCGGTGCCGGTCGGTGGAAGCGTGTCCCGCCCGTATGCGTACGAATGTTTGTGTGTGTGCGTGTGCGTGCGTGCGTGCGCGGGGCGCGCGCGCGCGTGTGTGTGCAATATGTCATATAGTTGGACGTGTAAAAACATTGTGGTCAAAGAAGAGAGAATGTAAGCGACGACGGCGGCTACGATATACCGTATTATGTGTTATTGGTCAAATAATCATCCCGTCGGTGCGGTACGTAACGCGCCGCACCATTGGTCGCGTTCGCCGTACGACGCAAGTGGACGTACCGCCGAGTCGACCAATCGCACGGCGCGTTACGCGCACCGCGAGCGCGGCTCGAGATACAATGTCGGCGTGCGCGGGCGCGCGTTCGAGAGTGTGCGTGAGTGCGAGCGTACCCCCCAACCCGCCCCGTCCGCGATCGCGCGCCGTCACGGTCGTGTTTGTGTACGCGCGTGTGCTAACGACGGTGTACTGTGCGCGCGCGTGTGCGTGAACCGTCGTCGTTGTCAGAGAGAGAGCGACCGAGGGAGAGGGAGCGAGAGAAATAACGAGAGAGTGAGACCGAGTGGGTTAGCAGCGAACGAGTGCGTGAGGGATGCACTGACGGTGAGCGAGAGAGATATTGTGTGTGCGCGCGCGCGCGTGCACGCCGCGTTTGTATACGCTATGGGTTCGTGTGTGCGTACGTGAGACGCGTTTGTGCGTGCGTGCGTGCATGTGAATTGCCGGAGGATTTACTCGGCTGTTAGACGGGAACACATTAATGCGGCGATGTTATAAATATTATTGTAAAATATTTGTCATTGTACAAAGAGTGAACGGTATAAAAACGAAACCGACGTTTGTATTATTTCCGCCGTTGTCGCTGTAATTAGTAGTATATTATTATCAATTAATTCATTCGCCGTCGCGCCGGATTTTAGTGTACGGGCAACACGACGCGGTGGTACTCGTCCAATTGGAATAGAAACCCGAATTCGAGATCAACTCGTAGACGACGCGACGATAGTGCGCGGGTTGAAAGGAAACGACGAGAAAAAAACCGTAAACGAGAACGGTGCTGCGTTGCACTCGGATTGCAACTATTACCACCGATACGCTAGCTGTACTACTACCGATAGTAGTACTACTGGTACACTACTACCACCGTCCGATTATTACTACACAACTACTACTACTACTACTACTACTACTACTACTACTACTACTACTACTACTACTA